CCCAGGATACTTATTAATTACAAAAGGAAAACTAACTTCACAGCAGATATCACCTTAACCAAGTGATGAAGGTTAACAGGAATAGTAATAAGAAATAGCGAGATCATCTACCATTGACAAGATTCACTGAGAACACAATCTCATTTCTGTGATATTCTTGTCAAAAATGTATAACCTTAATCTGATAATGAGAAAAAATTAGAAAAACTCAAATTGAGGGACATTCTACCAAAACAAAGGAACAGAAAACTGATCAGCACTCTTCAAAATATCCAGGCCATGAAAGGCAAAGAAAGACTAAAGAATTGTCTGAGGAGACTAAGGAGACGTGAAAACTACATGTAATGTGGGATCTTGGATGGAATCCTGACCAGAAAAAGGACATTAGTGGGAAAACTGATGAAATTCTAACAGGTCTACAAATAAGTTTATAGTGAGTATCAATGTTCACTTCCTAGTTTCCATAATTGTATAATGGCCATGTAAGATATTAACATTAGGGGAAGCTGGGTGAAGGGCATACAGGAACTCGATTTTTGCAACTTCTGTGTAAGTGTAAAATTGTTTCAAAATAAGAAACTTTAATAAAAAAGAGTAATGCATGTTCATAAAGGAAAAACCAGACAACATGAACTAGTAGAAAAATTTCCAACCACAATCCTGATAACATGAAAACAACCACTGTCAACATGATGTCTCTCTTAAGTAATAATTTAGAAAACTTTTCAGAATAATGACCATGCTCAAAGCACAAACCCTTAGAGCACCTCTATCCTATTAAAATAGTACCCATCCCACATCCACTTGCATTTCTGCTGCACCTTGTGCATCTCTATTGCTTCTTTCCCCACAACATCTATCACTTCTAATGTATTTATAACTAAGTATGTCATTTACTTACTATGTCTTTTGTTTATCGCTTGTCTCTCATGCAAGCTCCTTGAGAGTAGAGACTTTTGTTTTATTTATTGATATACTCCAAGTGCTTAGATCGGTCCTTGGCATAGAGTAGGTTCTCAATAAATATTCCTTAAATGAAAGAGGCTCAACAAGAGGCCAAATCATAGACTTTGAATTCCTGGAAAAAAGAAAAATCCTGAAAAGTTGGAAAAAGGAGAGGTAGTGTCTAATGTCACCAGAGTCCTTGAATTCTGAAGCACTTCTTCCACCCAAAGCCTGGACATGACATCAGAGGCAAGTGCCACCAGGATATATGAAAGGGGAGGCAGGCCTACCTATTGTAGAAAGGACACTGTTTCAAAAGCTGAGATATTTAACAAAAAGGAATATAAAAAGGATATTTAACAAGAAGGAGACCTCTGAAGCATGACTTAGGTACAAAACAAACTGCTAAAGAGTGGAAACCCCAGATTTAGAAGAGTAAAAGAGGCTTATCAAGATCCTTGGAGGTCTGGCACTTGAAGTAAATTGAATGTTCAAGACAAATGATCCCTGGATGACTGTTAGTCAGGACAGGTCCCGTCATGCTGCACTAACTATGAATCTCAACTATCGGCAGCTTAATACAACCAGGAGTCCCTGGGTAGTGCAAATGGTTAACAAGCTCTGTTACTAACTGAAAGGTTGAAGGTTTGAGTCCACCTACAGGTGTCTTAAAAGAAAGGCCTGGTGATCCACTTCTGAAAAATTAGCCATTGAAAACCCTGTGGAGCACAGGTCTACTGTGACACACATGGGGCGGACATGAGCTGGAGCCAACACAACAGCAACGGGTGGTTTTTCTTACGACAAAAGTTTACTTCTCACTCACACTAAATCCACAGGGTATGCGGTGCAGTGAATTGCTTTTATATGACCTTTCTAGCCATGGTCTTGTAACTCCCACAAAATGATTGGCTGGGACTATGCAAAAAAGGTGTGTAGAACCCTGGCATGGATTGGACAGTTTACTATGACTATATATATAAGGCGACTGTGGCCTACCAAGGGGATTGGTTGGTTTTGCCATCCTGCTAGGTTTAAAAAGGTTAATTCCACTGAGGTTCAGGGATACTTCACTACCATCAAGAAAAGCCTAGAGCAGAGCATGTTCTTTGAACCAAGGAGAACCCTGCACCTAGAACCTCCTAGACCCAGAAGAAAGAGTGAATGCTGAAGATGATGAGAGATGGCAGCGATGGGCCTACCCAGCCCATGGAGTGGGAGCTGAGCACATTCAGGTAGCAGGCCTACCGACAGAGCTACAAGAGCGGTAACACTTGCTCATGCAGGACAGAGGTCTGAGTGTGCCGCATGCTGGGATTGCACACCTCCACCCCAGGCAGCAGGGCCCAGGTAGCATGGCGACAAGAGAGCCCTGCAGACCCAGGTAATGTGGTGGGAGCCAGCAGCAAAGGCTCAAGACATCCTGTGCAGAGATCTTCCAGCTGGCAGAAAGGCCCAGTGAAGCCCAGCAGCAGAGCAGAAGCCTCAGCAGCTGTGCAGGACCACAGCTGCATGGTGGTAGCTGGAGGTAGCGGTGACATGAACACAGCATCTGGCTTGAACCAGAGTACACCTGTAGAGTGACATAAGAATGGACATGGGTAATTTGGGGAAGGGTAAGTGTTTCCCCTTTGGGAATCTGTTGTTATTGTTTAATATTTGCTTTCTATAAATAATAATAATGGCTTTCACTTTGTCAACACTGTGTAAACGTCTCATGTGTCCAGCTCGATCACAGACGAATGTAGCCCATAGAATGCTTGATGCCAGTGGGTGTGTCTCATTCCTAGCAGTCTTATGGCTGCCTGGAAGTTTGAGGCACAGCCTGTCTGCATGTGCAGTGCAGATAGACATGTACATACAGAGTGTCTGCATGACCACCTAAGGACAGTTGTCCTCCATGCTGTGACTCAGTGATCCAGGCTGCTTCCATCTTACGGTTCCACCCTCAGAGGCAGAGAAAGACTAGGGAGTTGCACGTGGTTTTTCCTTCTCTCAGCCTGGAACACTCAGCTCAGCACTAAAGCTCACATTTTCTTAGCCAGAACCAGCCCTCTACCGGAAAGGGGTCTGGAGAGTTTGGGGAGCTGATGGAATGTCTAGGAGCACCACAGCCTCTGGCACAGTCACAGTGACTTTTTCTAGACTGGTGCTGGGGAGTGTTGACATAAGGCTGAGGAAACTAAATTCTTAGCACTTATTGGAGGGCAGGAAAAAAGGTGTTTGCTTTACAGTTTAAAGCTGGAGTCACTGTATCCCTGAAGGCTGAAGGAAAAAGAGCAGTAGATTTAAAAAACAAAAACAAACAACAACAAAAACCCCGTTGCCATTGAGTTGATTCTGACTCATGTGACCCCATATGTTACAGAGTAGAACTGTGCTCCATAGAGTTTTCTTGGCTGTCATCTTTACAGAAGCAGATTGTCAGGCCTTTCTTCCATGGCACCCCTGGGTAGGTTCAAACCACCAACCTTTAGTTTGGTAGCTGATTGCAAACCTCTTGCACCACCCAGGGACCTTGCAATAGGTCCAGGGAGCGTTAATCGGTCTTGTCTCCAAACAGTTGAGTATTGGGGCTAATATGGAGGGAGCAATGCTTGGGCTGGACGTTCAAGGGCAATTTTGGCTTTTTCCAGTTTTAAACTAATACAGGAAGAAGGAAAGGAGGAGATGAAGATGAGAAGGGGGGAAGGTAGAGGCAACGGCCCAATCAGTAGGAAGGGAAACACCTACCCCATCACACTCTCTTCCCTGCTGGACCGTGGGGTCTCCAAGAGCAAGCTTCATCCCCTCCCAAAGGGTCTGCACAGGTCCTGGAACTTTGTAGAGACGTAGGGTGTGCTTGTTGTGAATGAATGAATGCCCTCTTTCTTAGTCCCAGAAGCCACATTTAGCAGAAAAGTCACCCTCATTCAGTCAGTGGGCCCATTGGCTCTGCAAATGAGTCCCCAGCCTGAAACAGTTGACAGACCCTGCTCACCCTTGAAAGTGGGCATAGGGAGGTGATTGGTGGTCACACCCAGAGCCGGTTTGGGGAATTTACTCTGTCAGGAGCTAAACCCATGGTAAACATTTCAACATCTCTTAAAATTTATTCTGGCAACTGTCTAATGGAAAATTAGTTTTTTTTCCATCCTCAGTTCTGTCCTGCCAGTTGATGAGGGGAAGTAAAGGGGATTTCCCAGGAGCATAGGCATGCCAAACCATGAGTCCACCTACTGGCCGTGCTCTCATCCCCACCGCTGACCACGCCCAGCCTCCCAGAGGAAGCAGTTATTTAAGGGGAGCTGGAGTTCAGAATAGATGTGACAGTCAGTTGGAGGTATCGACTCTGACATCCCATGAGAGGTAAATACACAGAAATTAATGCCCACTCGCTGCCTTGGAGAGTAGCTGTGTTGTGTGTGTGTGCGCGTATGTGTGTATGCATGCATAGATGGGCATGTAAGTGTACATGAATGCATGTGCAGGGGTTGTTGTGTATAGGTATATTACACAAAGGTGTTGTGTGAATATGTGAGTGTGTTCTATGAAAGAATGCTTGCACCAGTGTTTGAGTGTAAGAGTATGTGTATGTGTGTGTGAGAGAGAGCATTGTGTGTTTGTGTATGTGTATATGTGTAAGCGGTTGGGAAGTCTTGCAAAGAGAAGATGCTTGAGAAAAATATCGGGATCAGACTCCATGGATGGGATTCTCAAGCCTTGAATTCAGTGGGGACATGCAAGATATGTCTAATGGAAGAGACATAGCTTTGACCTTGGGAAATTCCTTGGAAGGAACCTGGTCCCAACCTTCCAAGAGCTCTCCATCTGAAGAGGATCGTGGGCATCTCATTAGTGTATTATGTAGTGTCTAGCTGGCTCTGAGGGCCTACGTGTGTGTGTGAAACTATTCAACGGAGCTGGGAAGTCAGGAGGGCGTGTGTGTGCACATGCATCACTGGAGGTCAGTCCTGTATACCTTGTGTGTGATGAAGGGAGTCACCCTGGACTTAGCCTGGGACTACAGTGCATTTCTGCGTGCTCCTTTGCAAACTCCATTCTCCAGAGTTGTTGAGTGTGAGCAGGAGAGGAGGGGGCCAAGGGAAGAAGCTGGGACCACCTGGGAGAGGAATCTAGGCCAATCCACCTGCACTTCTCCCTCACAGAACTCTCCACATGAAGACCCTCCTGCTGTTGGTAGTAATCATGGCCTTGGGTAAGAGCTGACCCTGGTCTCTGACCCTAAGGGGGCAGTCCAGGGTGGGAAGCACCCTCATCTCCCAGTTTTCCTTCCAATGGCAGCATGGCCTCTCCTGGTAGGAGAGGGATAGAGACCAGTGGGGTGAGCGAGGGGAGTGCAGAGAGCAACAGGGAGGGAGCACACAGGGCCCAGTCCCCATCAGCAGCCAATTTCCTTCCAGGCCTGCTGCAGGCCCAGGGGAATTTGCTGGATTTCCGGAAAATGATCCAGTTGGTGACAAAAAAGAAACCCGTGACCAGCTATGGTTTCTATGGTTGCTACTGTGGCCTTGGCGGCAGAGGAACCCCCAAGGATGAGACAGATTGGTGAGGCCACCCTTCCCCTCCCTTCCCTCTGCTCACTTCCGACTCATAACCCCAGGAGGCTGAGGCTGGAAAAGCAGCCAGTAGGGTGGAAACTCTGCTCTAGACTCCAGAGTCACCAAGTCTCTGCCCAGGGTCAAGGAGGTGAGAGCCAGGGGGAGGCCGGCTCCTTTGAGCTACAGAAAAGCGGCCCCAATGGCATGTCCTCATCACAGGTGCTGTGCTGTACTGGACTGTTGTTATAAACGTCTGGAGAAACGTGGGTGTGGCACCAAACTTCTGAGCTACGACTTTGCCTACCGTGGGAGCCAAATTGTCTGCGGTAAGAAAGGGTTGCACAACCCCACACGGTTTCCTTACTGAGTGTCCACTGTGCTGAGTACTGGGCTAGGCACCAGAGATAGAAATACAAGGGGATATTGTCCCTGCCTCAGGGGGCTCATAGTTGAGTGAGAGGTAAAGAAAATGAAAGCACAATATGGTAAAGACTCCAATTGGAAGTAAGCAAAAAGAAGGAGCCCTTTACACAGCCTGAAGTTCAAGGAAGGTTCCTGAAAGTGGTGACCTCTAGGCTGAGTTATAAATGCTGTGCAGGGATAGCAAGGGTAAAGGAGGTGGATGGGCAGTCCAGGAAGAGGGAACAGCATGGTCAAAGCCTGGAGTGTGCTCAGGGGAACTGCAAGCAATTCTGTGTTGCTGAATGGACCCACGTGAGGAAGAGCAGGAGTGATGACAGGCAGTGCTGGAGAGATAGGAAGGGGCTAGCTCAAGCTAATTAGGGGCAATGGTAGTTCAGTGGTAGAATTCTCACCTTCCATGTGGAAGACCTGGGATCGATTCCTGGCCAATGCACCTCATGCACAGCCACCATCCGTCAATGAAGGCCTGCGTGTTGCTATGATGCCGGTTTCAGTGGAATTTTTAGACTAAAGTGGACTAGGAAGAAAGGTCGGTGATCTACTTCTGAAAATCAGCCAGTGAAGACCCTATGGATCACAACAGTCCAATCCATAACCGATTATAGGGATGGCGCAGGACCAGACAGTGTTTCATTCAGTTGTGAACGGCATTGCCATGAGTCAGAGGCCACTCAGTGCCAGCTAACAACGACAGCAACAACAGATCAAGCCAGGCCTTTGAGGCCATGTTGCATTTAGATTTTATCCGAAAGCAATTATTGTTGTTGTTCAGTGCCATTGAGTTGATTTTCAACTCACAGCAACCCAATGTGACGGAGTAGAACTGCCTCATAGGGTTTTCTAGGCTGTAATCTTTATAGGAGCGGATCACCAGGCCTTTTCTCCCATGGAGGCAGTGGGTGGGTTTGAACCGCCAATGTTTCAGTTAACAGCCAAAAGCTTAACCATTGCACCACCAGAGTTCCTTCCTAAAGCAATGGGGGGGTATTAAGCAAAGGAGTGACATGATGAGATTTGCATTTCTGGGGACTTACTCTGGCTGCAGGGTGGATGGAAACAGGATGGCAGGGGAACCTGTGAGAAGGCTATTGCCGTAATCCAGACAAGAGATAGTAAGATCTTGACATAAACAATGGCAATCAAGATGGAAGGGGTTGGAGAATGAAATCAAGATGCATTTGAGAGGTAGAATTATTAGAGTTTGGTGACTGACTAGGTAGGGGTGAGGATAGGGAGCTGTTGAGTAGGTATGCCACTGTATGGACGGTAGTACCACAGCTGAGATAAAGACCATAGGAGCAGGGCTTGGTCAGGGGTGTGGGGAGAAGGAGGAGTTCTGTTCGGGGCTTGTTAAGCTGAAGGCACCTCTGGGACACCCAGGAGATGTCCAGCGGGCAGTTGGATGTATGAACTTACAGCTCTGGGCAGAAGTTTGCACTGGGGTCATAGAGTCAGGAGTTGGCAGCAGAACTAGACATGATTGCCCATTTGATGCTGAAGGGCTCAGAAAGGAGACAGAGTAGGAATAGTCAGAGAGGGTGGAGGAGCACTGACAGAGGAGAGTCAAAGAAGTTGGTAAGAAGATGGTTGCAAGAAGGAGGAGAAGATTAACAAGAGCCAGTTTAACAGAGTTTGCCAAGGTAAGGACTGTCAAGAGTCCTTTGGATTTAGAGGCAGGAAGGCCATGAGGAGCTCAGTGAGAGCTGTTCCCATGGAGTGGTGAGGGCAAAGCCAGATTGGAGTAGGTTGGGGAGTGAATGGAATGAAGAAGTAGAGACGGTAAATACAAACAGCTTTTTGAAGAAAGTTTTGCTCTGAAGGTGAAAAGAAGGATGGGGTGGTGCCTGGAAGGGTTTGTTCAATATCCCCAGACAGTAGATCCGTGAGTGGGATTTTGAGAGATCATGGACTCTCACTTAACAGCCTAAGAGTTCTTTAGGATCAGAGGTTCTTTAGGGTCATCTCCTCCATTATGACCTCCGCATAGGATCATGTATCTTCAGAAGGCTTTGGGTTGCAAACAACTAAAGGTGGCTTAGATAATGGCGAAGTATGACTCTCACATAAAAGAAGTCTAGAAGAGGGCAATGCCAGGCTGGAGCAGCTTCTCAACCATATTGTCAAGGACTCAGCCTTTCCCAACCTTCTGCTCTGGCATTTTGGCAGTATCTAACTCATGGGGTTAAGACATAAGCTGCAGCAGAAGCATCATGTCCTCATACTCTAAAAGGGGCTTTCCCGTGGTACCTCTCTCTTTTAAGGGAGGAAAATAATCCTTCCCAGAAGCCCTCAGCGACTTCCCCTTGTGTCTCGTCAGCCAGAATGAAGTCGCACATTAGCCAGAGACCAATCACTGCAAAGGAAAAAGGGATAACCACGGCTGGCTTACATCAATTAGGAGCCATTCTCAGGGGATGGGCACGTGGCCTCCTAAACAAATCTGTTAGAATGGTTAGGAAGGCACTTAACAGAGTCTTCCTGTGTTTGGCCGCTGTGTGTCCCCATCAGACCGAAAACTACCTGTCTGAGGGCAAGAATTCTGTCTCCATTAGTCAGAAATATCTGGAACATAAGTGCTTGTCTCAAACTAGGAACTTCTGGAGAACAGGAACTATGTCTTCTTACCCAGGGTTCCCAGAAGTCATAGGATATTAACAAACCCCCTGTCCCGTGTCTATTTTCTTGTGATTTCAGAGAACCAGGACTCCTGCAGGAGTCAGCTGTGTCAGTGTGATAGAACGGCTACCTACTGTTTTGAGAGAAACCTGAACACCTATAATACAAAGTACCAGTACTACCCCAATTGGAAGTGCAGTGGGACAGCCCCCAGCTGCTGAGAGCTGCCTCTTCCCCCCAGAAGCCTCACCACCCAATGCTGAGTTTCTTTCTGTAACACTGCCACTCCCTGCCCTAGCCAAGTTCCCTGGGGATGAAGAAAATATCCCTTTCCTATCCTAGAGACAAGCTCAGGGCTCCCTTTCTATCCTTGACCAGAATGAGAAGTCAAAACCTGGGTGATTTATGCCTGACCCCTTCCTCCTCCTTCCTCGGCCAGCAGGATATTTCTCCATGATGGCTCCTCTGTTCTCCTTCTAGTCCAACTTCCTGCGTAGCAGTAGCATCTACAATCCTGGGGGTCTCTTCTGAATAAAGCAATTCATTGGCAAACCGTGTGCATGCATTTGTGGGAATATGCGCAAGTGCTCACAACACTACCCAAGACTAACGAGGGTCCTGTGAGGTGGGCAGGCCCATGCACTCCTAGTGTGAGAGCAAACCATACAAGCTAATGTATTGTTGTTATTTGCCATCCAGTTGTTTCCAACTCATGGTGACCCCATGTGTGCAGAGTAGAACTACTTCAAAGCTATGACCTTTCAGAAGCAGATCACCAGGCCTGTCTTCCAAGGTGCTTCTGGGTGGGTTCCAATCAATATCCTTCAGGCTAATAGTTGAGCACTTAACCTTTTGTGCCACCCAAGGACTCCTAATATGTGTTGTTGTTGCTTTTCTGTGCTTCCAACTCATAGCAACCCCACATGGCACAGTAGAACTGCCCCATAGGGGTTTTTTGGCTGTACTTTTTATGGAAGCAGATTGCCAGGTCTTTCTCCCACAGAGCCACTGAGTGGGTTTGAACTGCTCACCTTTTGGTTAGCAGCCAAGCACTTTATCTTGAGCTATAAAGTGTGGTAGGTGCCGTCGAGTCAATTCCAACTCATAGCAACACTATGTACAACATAACGGAGCACTGCTCGGTCCTGCACCATCCTCACAATCATGGCTATGTTTGAGCCCATTGTTGCAGCCACTATGTCAATCCATCTCATTGAGGGTCTTCCTCTTTCTTGCTGACCCTCCACTTTATCAAGCATGATATCCTTCTCCAGGGACTGACCCCTCCTGATAACTTGTCCAAAGCACATGAGATAAAGTCTCACCATCTTTGCTTCTGAGGAGCATTCTGGCTGTACTTCTTCCAAGACAGATTTGTTCATTCTTCTGGCAGTCGGTGGTATATTCAATATTCTTCTACAATACCATAATTCAAAGGCATCAATTCTTCTTTGCTCTTCCTTATTCATTGTCCAGCTTTTGCATGCATATAAGGCAATTGAAAACACCATGGCTTGGGTCAGGTGCACCTTAGTTCTCAAAGAGAAGTCTTTGCTTTTTAACACTTTAAAGAGGTATTTTGCAGCAGATTTGGCCAATGCAATGCGTCATTTGATTTCTTGACTGCTGCTTCCATGGGCGTTGATTGTGGATCCAAGTATAATGAAATCCTTGACAACTTCAATATTTTCTCTGTTTATCATGATATTGTTTATTGGTCCACTTGTGAGGATTTTTGTTTTCTTTGTGTGGGAGGGTTAAAAATACAGACTCTGGAGTCAGACTGGCTGGGTCAAGTCCTCCCTCCACCACCTCCTAAATGTATGACCTTGAGTGAGTTACTTACCCTCCCCAAGCCTTCCTTCTCTCATCTATAAACTGGAGATGACACTGCGCAGGATTGTTTGGGAGTTAAATGAGATCATGAATGGAAAGCACTGGGTCTGGCATGCCTGTATTATAAGTGAAACCCTCCCTACCTCCCTCCCCTCCCCCCTTCCCTGGGCGAGATCTGCTCTTACTGGCCTGTCCGGGGAAAACAGAAAAGTTGGTCCTGATATGCTGGGAAGCTGTATTCCCCATCCTCTGCATGGTATGTACTCCCCCTGTTTCTGCCATCCTAGTGGAAGGACAGGGGTGGGAGGTCAATGTAATGCTGGCCACCAGCTGCACCCTTACCCATGGTGGGCTTCCTGGACATGTGACCTGTGGGTTCCCACAGGGCCCCGAGCTCAGAAGTGCCCCACACTTGGTTTAATGCTCTCCTGCGGCCATCTTGAAATTCTCAATAATTTTTAAACAAGGGACTCCACATTTTCATTTTGCACTGGGCCCCACAAATTCTGTAGCTGGTCCTGCCCTCACCTGGGTGCTACTTCCCCTCCTGTTGTCCAGCATGGCTCTGGGATCTTCCCACCGGGACCAGCTGTTTCTTTAATAATGACCATCAGGCCAGCTGGGTGGGAGCCCTGCACAGAGGCACCCTGCTGAGGGGCATTGGTGGGGGCTGAATTTTAGCCAGAGCACAGCTCAGCAAGCTCTGCCTTCATCAGAGGTGGTACCTTTCTGTAATTCAACTTCCCAGAAGGAATGTCTTTTCCTAATTCTGCACAACTATGCTCTTGTGGCACAAAGGTTAAGCACCTGGCTGCTAACTGAAAGGCTGACTGTTGGAACCTACCCAGTTGCTCCTGAGGAGCAAAGACCTGTCGATCTGCTTCCATAAAGATTACAGCCTAGAAAATCTTCTGGGGCAGTTCTACTCTGTCACATGAGGTCACCGTGAGTTGGAATTGACTCAACAGCACCTAACAGCAACATGGAGCCTTAACCTCCTATAAAATAAAAGACATACAAAATACAAACCCAAATATTTTATTAGATCAACAAACATAAAATTTCTGTCAAATTGCTTTGAATTTTCAAAATACTTTCAAGTTCTGTACATATCTTACCATGGACTGGAAACAATTCATGGACCACAACAGATCATGGAGCACACTTTAGAAAGCACTGTCAAACCCATATTGAGGCAAGAAAAATGCCCTTAACAATTTTATAATTAACAATATACTTTATCACTTGTCTTGGAGTGAGTGGCATTTATTACTTATTATTATTATTACTATGTAGGTAAAGTTCTTTCCTTTCTTGCTACCCTTCAGGACCTGCTGGAATGAGGACAAGACCACATTAACCCACTACCATTGAGTCGATCCCAACTCACAGCGACTCCATAGGGTTTCCAGGCTGCGACATCTTTCTCCTGCAGAGCTGCTGGTGGGTTCAAATCGCCAATCTTTTGGTTAGCAGCTGAGTGCTTTAACCACTGCACCACCAGGGCTCCTTAAGACCGCATTAAACCAAACCAAAACCCGTTGCCGTCAAGTCAATTCCAACTCACAGCCACCCTATAGGACAGAGCAGAACTGCCCCATAGGGTTTCCAAGGAGCAGCTGACAGATTCAAAATGCTGACCTTTTGGTTAGCAGTTGAGCTACGGTGACGCAGTGGTTAAGTGCTAACTGAAAGGTTGGCAGTTCCAACCCACCAGCCATTCCACATGTGATGGTTAAGATTGTGTGTCACCTTGGCTGGGCCATGATTCTCTGTGTTTTAATGTAATCACTCCCATGGTTGAATATACTGTGAGTAGCCAAACAGATGAAAGGGAGTCTCCTTGGGGGTGTGGCCCACATCTGTATATAAGCAGACGTTCTGGCTTTTTGCTCTCTCTGGATCCTACGGCTGCTTCCTGTCGTCTCATCTCCCGTTCTTGGGACTTGAGCTCTCAGCTTATCTGCCGAACCTGGGATTCGTTGATCTGCACAGCCTGTGGGTGGGAGCCCTGCTCTCCGACCTTCCGATCTTGGGCTTGCCAGCTTCTGCAGCTGTGTGACTTAGGAGAGGCCTCTACCCTGATCCACGGACTTGGGATGTTCTAGCCTCTACAATTACGTAAGCTGTTTCCTTGATATAATCTCTGTCTGTATATATATATTTATATACTTTACTGGTTTTGCTTCTCTAGAGAACCCAGCCTTAAGACACCACAGAAAAAAGATGTGGCAGTCTGCTTCCATAAAGATTTACAGCCTTGTAAACTCTAAGGGGCAGTTCTACTCTGTCCAATAGGGTCACCATGAGTCGGAATTGACTCAACAGCAATGAGTTTTAAGACCACATTACTCCTTAATAATTGCTTCTTAGCTTGAAGAGAGACTCTGAAATGCACTTTTAAATAAATACTTGGCAAGAGCTTTTTTCTTCTGCCTTCACCTAAGGAAAGGGGAACCAAAAAAAGAACCCAAACCCGTTGCCGTCAAGTCAATTCAGACTCATAGCGACACTATAGAACCAAGTAGAACTGCCCTATATGGTTTCCAAGAAAAGGCTAGTAGATTCAAACTGCTGACCTTTTCATTAGCAGCCGAGATCTTAACCACTGCACCACCAGGGCTCCAGAGAAAGGGGACAGGAATGACTTATTCTCTTGGCTATATCTCTCCCTTCAGTAAAGACTTTGCACTTTCTAATTGAGTATTCATTCAAGGATATTTTCAATGTAAATCTTTGTGTGCACAGTTTTGGAGATTTTCTCTTCCTGAGAACATTTCTTTTACAACTTTACATTGAATAATAATTTCAAAGAATATAATATTCTGTGTTCAACATTTTTTTATACCTTAGAAATATTCCTCCACTTTCTTTTTCCATCCAGTATTGCTAATGAGATATCTGATATAAATCTGACTCCTAATCTTTGTTTAGTTATCTGTTCTTTCTTTCTGGAAGCACTTAGAATTTCCCTCTTTGTCTTTGGTGTTCTTAAATTCCATTACAATGTATCTAATTGTCAGTTTTTCTTTATAAGTTCTGTTTGCACCATTAATTATAGGAATTTTATATTCATTATTTCTTTGAATGTTTCCTTTCTTCCACTTTTTCCTGTCTTCTGGAACAAATATTACCTGGTTGTTGGTACAACTATCCTCCATATCGCTTAGATTTCATTTTCTATTTTCTATCTTTATTTTCTCTTTATTTTTTACCCTGCCACCTGGGAAAATTCCTCAATCTAAGCTTCCCACCTTGTGTCATTTGCTGCCACTGACCCAGGCAGGTCCTCTGGTCAGGGTTTTATCATTAAACACCTGGGAAGCGGCAGCACTGGCAGGAAAAGCCATCCCAGGGGGAGTGGTAGGGAAGAAGAATAAGATGA